CCGGGCGCTCAGAGGAGGGAGAGCATAGATAATGTGATCATTAGCCATCATCACACACTGGTGAAATTACATCTCCACATCTGACCCATCCCTGTGGGACGCAGTGAGCTGCAGCAGTGGCTGCGCTCAGGAGCTCTTTAGTGGTTTAACCCCCTAAATCAATCCCTTAAAGCTGAGTGTCAAGCAGGGAGGCAGCGGGTGCCATTTTTTAAGTATTTGGCATGACCCAACCGTAGACTTGAACCCATGATTTCCCAGTCTCAGGGTGGACACTCATACCATTAGACTACTGAGAAGGGAATTATTGTCATAGTTCACCAGATTTTTTCACGCACTCCTATAAATCATGCATCCATCCATCCATCTTCTAATGCTTATTAGAAGTTGGGTTACAGAGGTCCAGAAGAATCCCACCTACAACTTCACAGCAACATTCTCCAGCTTCTCCTCGAGATTCTAAGGTAATCCTAGACCAGAGACGATGAACAGTCCATGTTCTGCATCTCCAGGGAATACTTCCCAGTGGAATGTACCCAAAAATGGTGAACCAGAAGACTTCCTAATAATGAGGCTGAATCACCTCAGCTGACTCCTTTTGATGGGGAGGAGCAACAGCTGAACTCAGAGTTCCATCAGGATGATGGTGCCACTCACCTTGGCTCTAAAGCCTGGTTTATCCTTCTGCCAGGTTTAACTTACACATGTATTGATGGAGAAATTCTCCTTTTATACTTTTTCGTTGACGTGTCAGGGTTGCAGATCAATTCTCTGCCAAGGAGGCGTAGACCTTTTCTGGTGCGTCCGCTTTCCAATGTGGTGATGTTATCTCTGGTCGATGGCAGTTTATTTACTTTAGCTTATAAAAGCAAATATCTTAAAGAAGGGGTGAATTTAAATTAAAATGATAGAATCTTGTGTTGAAATTGGAATTTGTCATTGTTCCTATTTTGTTTGGAAGCAAAAAAGCTTGTAAACACCTGTCCACAGAGCAATGGCCGACACAGAGCGAGTTCTCATTGAGCTGGAACTGTTTGATCTCGAGGAATGAAACGCTTTGTTACAAAGAATTCAACGGGAGGGAAAGACAGTGAATGTCCACTTGTGCTGCCGCTGTTTTTCAGCCGACCAATCACAGACGTGCGCTCTCCATCGTGTTCGACGATCAGTTACAAAATTGGGTTTGACTCTGTCCATCCCTGAGTGCCTGTCAGAGAGCCCTTAAGTAGACAGATGATGGCTCTGCGTGTCTCTGTACCTTTGCAGATGAAGTATAAACTTGGCTTAACCCTCTCAGGCTCAAAATAAGTTTTGATAAAAGGACGAACAACTAAGTCCTTTGGGGGTACTTCTGAGTTAAAAAAAATGCTCATGAAATACGTATGTGGAGTAACCAGGTAGGCAGGTTTTAACGTTGCAAATCTGCAACGCCTGCCTCCAGAGGGTTAAAGCTGTGGAACACTTCTGATTATAATTGGTCACGGAGTTTTTCATGCAGGTGTAACAGGAAAACAGTCTCCTACACCTACACCTATCTCCTGCATTAGCTTCTGATAGAAAATGGATGGTGACATGCTAGAATTTGAAAAGCCTGACAATTCAACCTCAAGCAGTCGCATGGACTCACCCATATTGACTCGTGACGGAAAAGGCTGCTGTTGTTTGAGCATCCAGAAACAGCAGAGAACTTCTCAGCAAGCAGAAGCTAACTGTTATCATTAGCAAATAACAGACTTTCAGATTGCTGTTATCCAATCCAAGACAAGATGTCCAAATATCAGGAAATAAGACTCCAAACCCTGCCGTGTTAAGCTCTCCTCTGATGAAGCAGACATGCTGAAACAGGCGTTTCTGGGGTTTTATCGTCCAGAAGCTAACAGTTAGCATTAGCAACACCACCACACGGCAGAAGGTCCTCCAGGCTTGTGTTATTTGTGGAGATAAAACATCCATGTTGCACGGCAGAGGTAGAGTCGCATTGTCCAAATATCAGGAAATAAGACTCCAAATCCTGCCGTGTTAAGCTCATCTGTGATATGGCTCACATCTAGTTCCTGGAAATGGTGCACCAGTTTTTTTCTTCCATAAAGTACGATTAACAAGGCATTCATTCCTAGACCACTGGAAATGTATAGATTAAATGAGTGAATCACAGCTTTAAACGTTTACCCTTGAAAAAGGGACAAAATCCACTTTATTTTATAGGTAGGTCAAACTTATTGGATGGCTGCCAGGTTTATTTCTAATCATCATCGTTGATGATAATAAATATTTTGGCTCAGCTCGAGGCTTCTAAAACTGCTCTACTAAATATAAAAGCAACGCAACCACATCATTGTGGTTGGAACCAAGCAGTCGTGGGTGTAGCAGTGTAACAAGCCCAAATTTCTTTTAGAAAGGGTGATTAGTTCCTTTTGATTTGTGTTTGGCCGCCTGTCACCCAAACCCATTCCCTGATATCACACCACTATAATGGTCTAATCAGCACTTAACGAGCCATGTTACATAAAATCAATGCAGCCTTCCATTTGTGAATGCAGAATATTTCGGGGAGCAGATGAAAACTCGTGGCAGGCGGTGCTGTCATTAGGACTTCGCAGTCACCGGACAAACAGGCCTGCAGAGAGCAGAGGATGCACTCGCTCTCCACATTTGATGATCCTCTTGAGATCCAAGCTTTTACAGCTAAATCCTTTGTTTTGCTGACTAATCGGGTATTGATTTTAACAAGTTGTTAAGCCCAAATAAGGTTGTCTCGCCACAGCCAAACAACTACAATACCCGTAGGAAGTTCCAGAAACAAGCTACTGGGGATCTTACTTAGGGGACTATTACACCTTTCTTTTTGATTTTCTGTAATGGTAGTATCAAAGAGATAACGTTTTCACTTTCTTCTGTTTTACAGCAGTCCTATAGGCAGCACAGCATACGGTTTCCTCCTTTCTCGATACATGCATTGCTTTGTGCTTTCTCTGGGAGGATGTGAGTCTGTGAAATGATGCGACGTGCCATCAGGCATCTCTCCCACTTGTCATACAACAAGCCTGCAAAGAAGTGAAATTTACTCATTCAGTTGGGAAAGTGCAAAGCGTTGTGGGTATCCCCACCTTTGTGTGTCTATGCCTCGAAGGAAACGGCTTTGGATCAAATCTGAGCCGACTGTTGCACTGGACTGTCTGCTGCCAGTGGAAGCCAGCAGGTCCTTTGCATTATGCTTAATGGAACTGCAGAGAGAATATAACAATGCCAGCTTGTTTTCATTTCAGGAGACCTTGGAGCTGCAAATGAATAATATATTGTAGGCAACTGGAGGGTAAGTGAATACATTTGCTGTAGGTGTGGATTTAGGACGGTACTGGGATATCTAATGGAGCTGCAGCACAGCCTTGTGGTAAAATAGGAGATTGCATTTCTGGAAAGAAGGTTCTTCACAAACGAGTTTTGATTTAGGGAATCTAAGTTAAATTGTCTTTTGATAGTTAATGTTAGTCAATCTTAAGCTTCCCAAGAGGTCAGCCCCCTCAAATTCCCTGCTTCCTGTTAAATGCCTCAAAGTATGCTGGTGATCAATAATATCAATGACTTTGGTGACATTTCAAATGCGTCTTGCTGGGTTGAATGGTGATGTGTCATAAGCACATGGAAGTGGAGAAGCCTGGGCTTCTGTAAGCTGGCAGACCAAAGCCAGGAGGGGCTGTAGCGCTGACAGACGAGACCAGGTGAATAATTGTCTGGGCATCTTATTATAATGCTGGCATGATCTGATTTACTCCGGCTGCAAATTGTGGGAAGAGACCCAGTGTCATGGAGGGTAGGGAATTAACGAGGTTTGTGCACAAATGAGCCCACTACTGACGGCAGATTCATCATGCAAGATGAAGGAGAATTTTCATGAGGCTGTAACGATTCCTCTCACTTCATTTCAGAATCAATCCACATATATTGTGCTAAGCGGATCAAAATGTACATCATTATTTTCCCCTATAATTTGGCTTGATGGCTCTTTGTATAAAACTCCTGAACACCTGAAGTCAATTTTACAGTTTTTTATTCCACAGCTCAAATTTGACCTTGCTCAGCTGACAAAGTAGAAAAGATTAATTATGACCATTCAAATGAGAAAGTTTCATCCTCCAAAACTTTTAATCCAACTGCCAGAGTAGTTTCCAAAATAAAGACGTGTAGGACACGTCGTGCAGTAAAATGAAATGTAAGATTCTGAAAGAATGACTCCATATGTTCAATCTATTTCCAAACAACAACAACATGATTTTACAAAGTGGAAAATTGTTAATGTTGAAAAAGAGATGTTTTTGACAAATAATTAATTAGCAAATATAATACGCAATTTAATTAGGAATTTCTGGGAATTTTGAAAAAGCCTGGGAGAAAAGACTTTTGATGAATTTAGAAAGTTGTATGGATCAAAGAAATATCTTATTTTTAAACTATTAATGATAAAACAAGAAAATAATAATAATTATAATTATTATAGTAATTGTTATCATCATTATTATTATCATCATTATTATAAACTTTTATTCATGCTATTTGAAAGTAACCCTAATTGTAATGAGATCAAATCATACTCATATCCCCCTTTATGAATACTGATTTTACAGTGTTAATTTTTCTTTTTTCAAAGCCACAGAAAGAAACACAATACAAATCAAATAATGATTAGGACTGATAAATGGATTTTGCTTTAAAAAAGCTGATTTAGGAGGACAATCTCTTATCTGCCTGCAGCATTTTTGATCAACTGGATCATAAATTTTGACAATAATGTGTCTAGTTGAAAATTTATGTGTCACAAACTTTGTATAAAGTAAAGTTAAAACACTTACGAGAGAAATAAACGTTAATTTTTGTCAGCATCGCCAATTTTACTTTTTTGGGGAAAAAGAAGAACTACAGTTCCCAGCAGCATTTAAAGCAACACACCAATCGAATTGGTTTAGAAAAAACCACGTGATCGAATTGGACGAATAGCTTTTGGGCGAATGACCTACACAGGAAGTATTGCTGTTAGCTTCAACAACGTGAAAGTCAACTGTCCTAAACCCACGACAATATGATTTTTATTACGTTCATTTATTTTTAACATTTTGAGGTTACAACCTTTTATTTTTATTGGTAAAAATCTGCAATTTGACGATGTTTCAGACTGTAACCAAGACGCTTTTGGTGTCATCATCCTCATTAGTTTATCGAAGTATTTGTCAGAGTTTACGACATTATTGTAATCAGAGTTCAACAAAGCTGAGAGTATCCGAAGCCCTCGCTGGAGCGGAGCTGGGAAAGAACGTCAGAGTTCAGGTAATGTTACGTTTATCACCGTGGGAATTATTTTATTACCGCTAACAAATAGGAAAGCTGTCTACCTGATGTTCTATTTATTTCTATTCAATTATTTTTTTTTTATAAAGCGCCAATTCACAGCATGAGTCATCTCAAGGCACAAAGTAAACATTCCAGTTTAACCTACTTATGGCTTTGACTTAAGTCCATTGTGCCAAATGCCAATTAGTTAATAGTTTGTTACATAAGGAAACCCAGCAGACTGTATTGTGTCAATGACTTTACAGCAATCCCCACACTAAGCAAGCGACAATGGAGAGGAAAACTCATCTTTAACGGGAAGAACTTCCAGCAGAACCTGGCTCAATATGAGCAACCATCTGTGGTGGCTCATTGGGGATTTGAACACACACTCACACAAGATCACGGATACAAGCGGCTGAACTGAGTTTCCTCCGGAGGGTGGTTTATGGTGGTTAGTGTGAAAAGCTTGGACATTCGGGAACGTACTGATAAACATTAGACATTCATATATATTAGATTCATTACACACAACTGAAGTAGTTCAAGCCTTTTATTGTTTCTAATATTGATGATTTTGGCATACAGCTCATGAAAACCCAAAATTCCTATCTCAAAAAATTTGCATATCATGAAAAGGTTCTCTAAACGAGCTATTCGCCTGATCATCTGAATCAACTAATGAACTCTAAACACCTGCAAAAGATTCCCGAGGCTTTTAAAAACTCCCAGCCTGGTTCATTACTCAAAACCGCAATCATGGTGTAAGACTGCCGACCTGACTGCTGGCCAGAAGGCCATCATTGACACCCTCAAGCAAGAGTTTAAGACACAGAAAGAAATTTCTGAACGAATAGACTGTTCCCAGAGTGCTGTATCAAGGCACCTCAATGGGAAGTCTGTGGGAAGGAAAAGGTGTGGCAGAAAATGCTGCACAACGGGAAGAGGTGACAGGACCCTGAGGAAGATTGTGGAGAAGGACCGATTCCAGACCTTGGGGGACCTGCGGAAGCAGTGGACTGAATCTGGAGTAGAAACATCCAGAGCCACCGTGTACAGGCCTGCGCAGGAAATGGGCTACAGGTGCCGCATTCCCCAGGTCAAGCCACTTTTGAACCAGAAACAGCAGCAGAAGCGCCTGACCTGGGCTACAGAGAAGCAGCACTGGACTGTTGCTCAGTGGCCCAAAGTACTTTTTTCGGATGAAAGCAAATTTTGCATGTCATTCGGAAATCAAGGTGCCAGAGTCTGAAGGAAGACTGGGCAGAGGGAAATGCCAAAATGCCTGAAGTCCAGTGTCAAGTACCCACAGTCAGTGATGGTCTGGGGTGCCATGTCAGCTGCTGGTGTTGGTCCACTGTGTTTTATCAAGGGCAGGGTCAATGCAGCTAGCTATCAGGAGATTTTGGAGCACTTCATGCTTCCATCTGCAGAAAAGCTTTATGGAGATGAAGATTTCATTTTTCAGCATGACTTGGCACCTGCTCACAGTGCCAAAACCACTGGTAAATGGTTTACTGACCATGGTATTACTGTGCTCAGTTGGCCTGCCAACTCTCCTGACCTGAACCACATAGAGAATCTGTGGGATATTGTGAAGAGAAAGTTGAGAGAGGCAAGACCCAACACTCTGGATGAGCTTAAGGCCGCTATCGAAGCATCCTGGGCCTCCATACCACCTCAGTGCCACAGGCTGATTGCCTCCATGCCACGCCGCATTGAAGCAGTCATTTCTGCAAAAGGATTCCCGACCAAGTATTGAGTGCATAACTGAACATAATTATTTGAAGGTTGACTTTTTCTTTTATTGGTCAGATGAAATATGCAAATTTTCTGAGATAGGAATTTTGGGTTTTAATGAGCTGTAGGCCAAAATCATCAATATTAGAAACAGTAAAAGGCTTGAACTACTTCAGTTGTGTGTAATGAATCTAATATATATGAAAGTCTAATGTTTATCAGTACATTACATGAAATAAAGATCATGTTGCCTCTGTTGCTCGTTCAGGCCGCTTTGCTCTGTATAACATACGAAAGATCAGACCATACCTAACACAACATGCCACCCAGCTCCTGGTGCAATCTACTGTCATCTCCCGCCTCGATTACTGCAATGCCCTTCTAACTGGTCTTCCAGCCTGTACTGTGAAACCTCTTCAAATAGTCCAGAACGCAGCGGCGCGTCTGGTCTTCAGTCAGCCAAAAAGAGCACACGTCACTCCTCTGTTCATTGAGCTCCACTGGCTACCGCTAGCAGCACGCATCAAATTGTAATAGCTAGCACTAGCATACAAAGTCCGAGATAGTACGGCTCCCATCTACCTGAATCCTCTTGTAAAGGTTTACGTCTCGGCCCGGCCGCTCCGGTCATCACAGGATCGTCGTCTAGCAGTGCCTACACCACGCTCAGGACAATCCAGACTCTTCTCGTGAATCGTTCCACAAATGTGGAATGACCTTCCAAGCACTACCAGAACAGGAGCTTCCTTTTCAATTTTCAAGAAACTCCTGAAGACCCTGCTCTTCAGAGAGCATCTTCTAAACTAGCACCCTCCCTGCACCCGTGCCCCCTCTCTACTGTCCACTCCTTTGTTCCCTCCTCTCCATGATTGATGTCATGTTGTTGTTGTTATTGTTGTTGTTAGCCTCAAGGGCAATATGCCGATTATCACTTGTAAGTCGCTTTGGACAAAAGCGTCTGCTAAATACATAAACATAAACAAAAAATAATGAACTTTATCACAATATGCAAATTTTTTAGAAGGACCTGTATATAGTCAGAAGAGTTAGCTACATTTAGTTTCATTTGCTTTTACTGCAGGGATGGGTTCGCTCAGTTAGGCCTCAGAAGAAGAATATATTTCTCCATGTCAATGATGGGAGCTCTTTGCAGTCACTTCAGGTTGTCGGTGGAGCAGAGCTGAGCGACCCGTAAGAAAAAACATTTCTACCCCATTGGAATGAGCTTCTTTTGGTTTTCTCTGCTCGTTTTCTACTAATATTTATCTAAAATGTAAACATGTCCTCCCTTGTTTAAAGGTTGCTGACATTTGGTAGTGCCGTAGAAGTTACCGGTACTCTTAGGAAAAGTCCACATCCCCAACAGCCAGTTGAACTGGGAGCAGACCAGATCCATGTAGTCGGAGAATGTAATTCTGTGGTAAGAACAAACACTTCCTCACTCACTGTGTTTACTAAATTAATTCGTATTTAATAAATGTCACTTATTGTAGTTGTTTTTATTTGTCCTTTTCAGGATTTTCCTTTTAAAATTAAGGAAAGACACAGCCTGGAGTACATTCGCCAGCTTCCTCACCTCAGATGTCGAACGAATGTCTTCAGCTCCCTTCTGAGGGTTCGAAGTGAGGCCACAACAGCTGTTCATTCATATTTTAAGGTAAGAAAATCAGTTACATTTTTATGAATTGCTGAATAGTTGTTTATTTTGTTTTGTGTACTTGTTTTTTTTCCTCCAGAGCAATGGCTTTTTACAGATCCACACACCAACCATTACCTCAAACGATTGTGAAGGGGCTGGGGAGCTCTTTCAGGTGGAGGTGAGGGTTCCTCTTATCGTCTGATGAGCGTCAAAACGTTATTACAAACATTTCAAACCATGTCTCGACCTCCTCATCAGCCTTCAGGCCCAGATTTTGAGGAGGAAGTGAACTTTTTCTCTGTGCCTGCCTTCCTGACCGTATCAGGGCAGCTTCATTTGGAGGTGATGTCAGGGTGAGAGTTTATAAGCTTATCCTACGGTAATCCATCTGCTGATTTTTAAGATTCATTTATTTTAAAAGTAATCTTGTGATATGCCTGGAGGTCTTTTTCTAGAGTCTACACATTTGGGCCAACGTTTCGAGCTGAGAATTCCCAAAGCCGACGCCACCTGGCTGAGTTTTTCATGGTGGAGGCAGAGATCTCCTTCACTCAGTCTTTAGAGGATCTCACCAAGGTACTTCATGTCATTCTTCTGTGGAACATTGTTCTGCATTACTGATTAAGTAGGTTATAAAGCTCAAAGCTTTATTTATAAAGCGCCTTCCGCAACCCTGTCAGCGCTTTGGGCTTCCTGACATGGTTGCGGAAGGCGCTTTATAAATAAAGCTTTGATTGATTGATTGATTGATAAGCCTGGTGGAGATTTATTGTGAAGTATTTGGTGACATCTAGTGAGTCAAACAACCAAACACATCCCAGCTTTCTCCAAAATGTTCAGACAGAAAAACAGAAACCTTCTAAAATATTTTTAACTATGATGGTTTCTGGAAGGGGTGCAGGCTGCTGATTGGGCAGAAAGAATCATCGCCCACTGATAAAAATATGAGCTTGTTTTAAATTGATATAAGCTCTTTTTTTATCTCTTTTTGACCCATTATGAGCTTGATGATGCTTAATTACTATCACACACAGAAGATATTAAAGTTTGGTATAATAAAAGCCATTTGCAAGTCCTGCGCAATAGGAACTCTACAATCATCAACGTAAGATGTTTTGAAGAAAAGTGTCTGCTGCAGATTCATTTTACAACAGCTGATTACACCAACATTAAAGCTATAATAGCAAATCTGCAAAACAAGCTAGCTTACTTTGTTTTTCATGCCTTTTAAAGGTGCATTATGTAGAAATGAAGTAAAAATGACACCCTTTGGTATAAGGTGGTTCCTGCAACCACTTTAAACTGGAGCTTTTTGCCAGTCATCATCAAATTACAGTTGTCGGCGCTGCGGTATTAGCTCGCAGGAGACACGTCAACCCCACACTCACTGATGGTAAACAGAAAAACCGACAGTCCCCACAGCCAGCTGGATATGAAGTATGTTTCAGTAGAACCTTCCTTCCAAAATGACTGAAACATCAGACTCTTTTGGGATTTTCTCACTGTAAAATTTTCACTATATTCTTACATACTGCACCTTTAACACGTTTTAACGTAGTATAGCTATACATATATTTTGGAGATTAAAAAAAGAAATGGTGCTCTCGCATTTGTTCAACAACCTCAGCCAATAACACGATTCGGACCCAAAGAAACAATTGGACCAACTAGTGACTGGTGTGAGAGGTTTTCCGCTCAATATGAGAGAAGGAGAAACAGCCAGCTTCTACCACTTCAAGTTCAGCACAAACTACCAGAGTCCCAAAAAGAAAATCACCATTTGAAGTCACGGACAAGAAATGACGTGACTTCAAATGACGAAAATGGCGACTTGTGTTTAGCGCTATCTCGTTTTCTTAAGGATGGTAGCCAACAGGAGGGGTGGGAGTTCCGGGAGTTTAAAAGCTAGGTTGTTACGCTAATTCATGATTAGGCGAGTTTTAAAGGTCCGATTCACTGAGAAACTGTATTTTTTTTTTAAATACCATCTGTCACTCGAGTTCCACATGCGTGCTAAACTGGAAAATAGTCTTCATCCTCAATTGCGCTTGCATTAGTCTGAGAAAGGGAAAAGACTGGAAAATGAGTGAGTCAGCAAAAGCCGGTCTCTTTTATGTCACAGAGAAAATTCGTGTTCATGGCCCCACCCACTTTGGCTTGCGGCCGCAGAAGGCTGTGTTGAGTTTGTGGAGCTCGTCTTGGGTAGTCGAAGCTAACCGTTAGCATTAGCAACTCCACTTTTTTGTGTCACTATAAGTGAAGATATTTGTCCCTACTGAGCTGCTGTAGCACAACCTATTGCTTACATATTGAGATTAATTTTCTTTAAGAAATAAATAGTTTATGTTCATTTTTAGCATTAAAGCAAGTTTTATACACAGATTATTTTCTTATATGACATTAGAAACCCTTGGGTGATTCTTTTTTCTTAGATTTATAGTTGCAGTTGGGAGGTTTAGCAGCCCATAATATATAAAGACTAATAGTTTTAGACTAAAAGCAAATAACCCCTCCCCCCTTAAATATTGATTTTGCACATTTAAAGTTTTAAACATCTAAACGTGACCTTCTCTTTAGGTCATGGAGGGCATGTTCAGATCCACCACTGAGCATGTGCTGGCTCACTGTGCTGATGATGTGGGTTTGTTTCATAAGCATGTGACTCCTGGACACAGGGTAAGTCCTGAAGGACAAAAATGTCCTCCTTACTCCAAGGAGATGTTATTATAATCTCAGCTCACTCCCTCTCTCATCTCAAGGACAGGGTGGATGCTATGCTGAAACAGAGCTTCCCTGTGTGAGTTATTTTGTATCTTTCTGTATTTTAAAAAAAGGTCTATTATAAAAGTTTAAGTGACGTGTTCAAATGGAATGAAACTTGTTTTTTTTGTTTCCCAGGATAACATATAGTGAGGCCATAGACATCCTAAACCGCAGCTCAGAGAATTTCACCTTTCCTACAGATGTACGTTTTAAAACTTTTGATAGAACTACCTTTTGTCTTCAGTTCCCTTTGACCTATTGGACCTCTTTTTGCCCCCTATAGTGGGGTTGTGACCTTAAGACTGAACACGAGAAGTATTTGGTGAAACACTGTGGCGACGTTCCGGTCTTTATTACCGATTACCCCTATGACCTGAAGCCGTTTTATGCAAGAGACAACCAGGACCAACCCAAGCACACAGTAAGGCGTAATCACATTAAAATCGCTGACTGATTAAATTATTTCATCACTCACTTCCTTCTCCGTGATGCCAGTTGGCCCAGTGAACTGATTTGCATAGCATAGCTGACTTTGACGGTTGTTTGTGTGCAGGCAGCTGCAGTGGACCTTCTTGTGCCAGGAGTCGGAGAGCTCTGTGGGGGCTCGCTGAGGGAGGAGAGGCTCAGCCTGCTAAAGGCTCGGCTGGAGGAGTAAGGCTGAAGAATCTGGAAATGCTGTTATAGTCATGATTTCGGTTTCATTGTGTGTTTTGTTATGAATGAAGAAGACTTTTTCTAGCATTTTGGGATGTGTCGGCAAGAATCCGGCAGTGTGATACGATAAATTATGAAACCAATAGCAAGAAAATAATTGCAGTTTTTAAGACTGAATTTGTTTGGAAATCTCGGGCCAAACATTCCAGTAATCACAAGATGATGTTGTTCCATCATAATGAAGGTGCTGTAAACCACTGCCATCTAGCAGTTGGAGTTTGTATTGCACCACTAAAAAGAAATACAGGAAGTTTTTCCTGGTAATTCCTTAACCCTTTGATGCATAATGGTCACTACAGTGGACAGGTACTCAAAATTGTTATTTCTTTATTTTTGCCATTAAGCACAGCTGTTGAAGACTTTATTGCATTTGAGCCCCTCCATTTGGACTTCAGTAAGTCAAGCCAACATATTTCATGTTCAGAATGCATGCTGTCCACTGAGATGGACATGTAATAAATTATTTGTAAATTAACAAAATGTTACAAAAAATATTTGTTGAAATTTGTTTCATTCACACCTAAAGATGAATGAAAAAAATTGTTTGAAAAATCTTGGTTGAAGATCTCATAATTCATGCATCAGAGGGTTAATTGAAAAAATATTGATACACAGTTTTTAAATTTTGTATCTTAACACAATATCGCAATATTTCAGTGTATTAATATTTTCTTAATCCCTGCTAGCATAAAAAAATAAAATTAATCCTACCGGCATGTGTTGAAGAAACCCATACCGATTCCCTCAGCTGGATTACAACCATTAAATGTAAGCTGGATATTTACCGCGGTGCCACTTTAACATCTTCCAGTACAAAATATTCATAAATCCGATTTCTAAATTTAAAGTTGGAGCTCCACCGATGGTGATGAAACACCAGGTGGTCTTCGGATGTTTACGTCTGGGCCACCGTTGTGCATGTTTTACAGGTTTCTCTGTTTCTTCATCTCATCTTGGGTTTTTTTTTAATGGCGGCTGGCAAACAACCTATGGTGCATTATCGCCACCAACTGGTGAGGAGGGCGAATCATGACGTCAACATCTACAGAAGAAAATCGATAACAAATACATAACAGGGTTTTATCTACATCAATGTATCAGATTTTATTTCCAAGAGAGGCTTCAGCACAGCTTGATGAGCTGTTGAATGTATGGAAACCAAACCAGGGACAGGAGTTGTACATTTGCATTAGAATACACTCTGAATGTGTCAAATCAGCTGCAGTTTGCACTATGTTGGACAGCAATGTCCCCGTCAAAGATTAAATCAATCAAATGAATTTTAAAAAATTATGTATTTAATCTCAACTGTTACATGAACATTAACAGTGGAAGTTTGAGAATAATGTCTCATTATTAATGTTTGCATAGTTAAACCAAAAATAAAAACGGCGTCTGTGACTTTTATTTTGTGAATCAAAAACTAACTGTTGATATAAAAATGCTTCCATAGGTGACTGTTGTTTTTACTAAAATATATATTTATTTGTTTTACAGTGTTGGATTGGAGGAAATCTACAGCTGGTAAGACACATTTTTAAAATAAACAAATTTCTGTTAAATACAATATTAAAACATTCATTTTTATGACATTTGAATTAATTTGCAGGTATCTGGATTTGAGACGATTTGGTTCCGTTCCTCACGGCGGCTTCGGGTTGGGATTTGAGCGATACTTGCAGTGCATTCTGGGTGTTAACAACATAAAAGATGTAATTCCCTTTCCCAGATTTTCCCATTCTTGCCTTCTGTGAGACTCTTGGAGAAGTCCTGGAAGCTGTTTTTCTGTTTGACAATAAAATGATGCAAAATTAAGTTGATTTATCTGTTTTTTTTTTCATGTTTGGTTTTCATAAGTTGTGTTCAGTGTATTTTAGCTCATAAGGCAAGGCAGCTTTTTTATTTATGCAACATATTTCTTTCACAGATGATTTATTGTAATTTTCTGGTGCAATAAAAACCAAAAACAGCAGAGTTCAAAATCTAATTTCAAATAAACAAAATTAGATTTATAAAAAAACATTTAGTAGAAATTTTATTGGAATCTGAGATGATACATTTATTTATTACGGTTTTACTACAAGACTAAAGTATTTTTTTTATAGTTTCCTATAATAAGATTAAGAGCGTGAATTAACCTTCCACAAGGTGGCGCTTTTTCTCATTTCTACCAATCAAGACTTGATTTTTTTTATCCATCAGCCTAATTTCTTCTTGGGAATTATTTATATTTTTAATCCGAACATTAAAACATCCGAAAATGACTTTCAGTTTGCTGTAAACTATTTTAAACGGATTAAAACAATTCTACATATTTGTAGGTTACGTTTTTGCGGATCAAAAGGCAGGTTTTATATTTTGTGAGGAAATTTAGATTGTTTTCATATAAATGCGTTTTAGTTTTTTACTAATTAGTTGGGTTGTTTTGGAAATTGTGTTGTTTTTCTGCAGGCTGTTGTCCACCCTGTTCATCCCAGCAGCCCATCCCTCCCTATCTCTGTCTGCGCGGTGGGCGTGGTGAGAGTTGGGAAAACAAACTGCAGACACCCGCAGACGCTTCCTCAGCCCGCGTCAGTTGAGGCTCTGCGTAAAACCGGGCCGTGCGTAATTTCTCTCTAAAGCAGAAAGAAAGAAAGCGCTTCTGCACGCCGGTGGAGGAGCAGAGAAGGACGCTGACTACTTTCTCATGCGCTGATTTCCAAATGGGACCCGCAGACTGCAGCAGAGAGAGCCGAACGCCGCCTGCGCTCTGAGCAGCAGTCATGTTCTAGTGTCAGACTTTTTTAGAGCAACAAGAAGCAGCACGGGACGCTCTGACTGACTTGGCAAACATGAGCGGCGGAGAAATCATCTTCCAAGGATGGCTGAGAAAATCTCCTCCAGAAAAAAAGCTAAGGAGATATGTAAGTGACTTCAAATTCTGTTTTAGAAGTTTGGCACCTTCATTAGTTTGTTTCTTCTGTTATGCTCCTGCAGGTGCATCCCTCCATCGTGCAGGGATCACCTGCAAAAAGGACACCTGATCATGATATAAATGCACAAAAAGAGCTATTGCTTACATGAAGCAGATTCGAGAGGTGTGGTGTCGAGGAAAAAACTGACAACTGGTTGTAATTTTAGTAGAGATCCTCCTGATTTAAACTGTCATTTGTTTGTATCCGGCTATGATGAGGTCATGTCCAATCAAGCTGATTTGGGTCTTAATCTCCAGGTCGACTATGTCACACTGGTGATAAATGCTCAGTGTTTGTGTCCTTTAATAAGCCCACGCATTGCCTCTTGTTGGGTGCTGTGCAGGACAACGGCCACAAATCAGATAATAGGATTTATGGAGGGAGACAGAACCATGAGACAATCTCCTATAAATACAGCTGTCCCCTGTTTATGTATGGTGTTGCTTTACTGGGGCCTCTCCATGCTCCTGCTAGCTGGCTTTGCCATGATGTCATGTTCGTGTTTCATTTGGAAATCTATCTTTGAATGTCGCCCCCCTTCCCCACACACAATCCTGTCATTTCCTCATTGTCTTTCGCTTCAATCTGACCGGTGTTTACACAGAGACCGTGTGGATCGGCATGGATCAGCAGCTGCAGAGGGGGGAAAAGAACTAGCTTGGTTACAGAACTTTATAAACAAGAAGAGAAGGGAAAATGTAAGAAAAGCAGAGCTCCCAGCCCTTCTCACCATGTGAAATCACACACACACACACACACACACACACACACACACACACACACACACACACACACACACACACACACACACACACACACACACACACACACACACACACACACACTGAGTCAGAATAGCAAGTCATGAGATAGTGTCCAGGCAGGCAGACTTGTGAATGTGATAAACTGTCCATCTGAAATTCCTTCCACTTAAAGTCAGACTGCGTGAACAATCAGAGCCATTTACTCACCAGTATTACTGTCATCTGATGTTTGTAAGGCAACACACCTGGTTGTTTTCAGATGTGACTCTAAAAACACCCTTTTGAAGGTGCGTCAGATTTAGAAACCATTAATTAATTATTTGTTATACCAGTGAGCTTTTATTTATTTATTGTCTAATCTCCTATATTCATGAAAATAGGATCTAATCCTTAACAACCCGTATTCCTGTCAATGTGCAACCACATTTTCATGCAAGGTTCTTGCTCAGCTGGATTAGGCCGATGTTTGTTAGTCAGTATTTAGTGAAAAGGTTGGTCGTTGTGTTAAAAACAGTTGTGAAACCTCCTGTAGAGGATATCCAAAACACAGCGCACATCTAAGCTCAAAGCAGATAGAGAGAGCCAGCCGGCCCTGGTGAAGGCTGAGCATGCAAATCAGATGCAAAGAAAAGCACCACCAAAGGGCTGCATGCAACCGGAGGTAAAGATGGGAGGTGTTTTATTTTGTGCACACTCCTGCTCGGCTAGTTCGTGTTAAACGGTTTTTAATGGTTTATGAAGCCATTAAAGTCTCTGCAGCGCCTCTGCAGCATCCTTGCACAAACACACAATGGTAGAAGCATGCCCAC